CGGCTGTGGCACGTCACGCAGCAGGGCAAGCGGCACAGCCTGGTCCCGGGTCTCTGCAGCCAGTGATAGCTGGTGGGGAGGAGAACCGGGCTCCTCACCAACATGGGAGCCAGGACAGAGTGAACACACCACCATACCACCACTCACCCTTCGCTGTGTCCCCAGTCGCTGCGCACACACAAGTGGCGATGGACAGGGTCCGGGGCGTAGCCTTCGTGGCAGCTGCACTCTCCTGAAAGAGAAGAGGGAAAGATGAGACCTCTCTGTTCCTGAAGAACATCAGGGACCGTGGTGTCAGGCCCTCCTCCCTGGCTGCCCATCTCGGCTGGTTCATGGTCATTCCTGGTCCCTGCTGTCGACCTGGAGCACTTTGGACTCTTCTGAAACCTCCAGGAGACGCGGAGGAAGAGATGAGGAGATGTGAAAAGCTGCAAGAAACCTGTAGCTCTTCTGAAGGGGGTTACGTGATGTAGCTCCCACGGTAACTGGGGGTGAGATTTCATGATGCTAAAGGTCTGTCCTTAACCCATGTTCCTGCGCAGCCCTACCATCCTGGTCACATCCCCATCCCACCTCTGCCCCTGCCACCTCACATGACGATGGGGTGGCAGAGTCTTCTGCAGCCCAAACCCCCACAGGAGGATGCAGGAGCCCCCGAGCTCCACCTTCTGCAGGCAGCGCTGATGCCGTGCCCCCGTCCCGCGGCTGCAGGGCTCCCGGCCCCGCTCCTCTTCTTTCCGTGGCTGCTGGCTCACCCTGTTACACCCTCCTGACAGCAGGAGAAGACGTTTCCCACACCAGAAACCTGACGGCGCTTGGCCCAAATTGATTCCTTGTTTGGGAGAAATACATAACCCGAAGCAAGAAACAGCAAAATCGAAAGATTAATTGGATTTGCACATGGAGTTTGTGTTACAAGCTCCTGCCAATGGTTTTTTTCCCCCCTGCTCTCCCCATCATGCCTGACGGCATGGCAGGCTGAGCTGTAAACACCAGCAAAGGTGGGGAAGGGCTCTGGGGAACCCAGGAAGGATTCCTCGGGGGGGTACCCCCATCATGGCGCTAATGCAGACTGGCAGGTACCTGTGTGCTCATCAGGATCCTAAGCAAGTTCTTAAAATGCCTCGCAGCGATTACAGTAAAGAGCTTTATTGTCGGGAGGGAGCGAGACTGGGGTTCAGCTGCTGAGATTTTTGAGGAAAAGACGCCTGGAAAGGGGGAGGTGGAAAAAAAAGAAGGGGGGGGGAAGAAAGAGACAGCTAATGATGTGCTAAAATGCAACAGCACCTTCATGAAATATTCACTTTCTTAAACACGTCTAATATTAAAGATTAAATATCCTGGGATTTGTCCTAGCGACTTCGAAGCACTGATTTATGATCTGTCAAAAGCTGCTAACCTCATGATTCATAATGGGAGCGGCAGGAACATTGCTTCTCCAAAGGGAAAGCGCTGGGAAGGAGACGGCGACGCGAGCCCCTGCTCCCAGCCGTGCCCGGGGGCTGGGGAGGTCTCGTCGCAAGGAAATACGGGTGCTAATGGCTCCATCAGTGATTTTAAAAAAAGTTATTTTTTCTTTGGGTGCTTAGTACGCAAGTTTCCCCAGCCGTGCCGCGGATCATTAATTCCTGGCGCTTATTACATAACAAATATATGCTCTGCAAATGAGAGACATCTCAAAGTGCTTGCGAAGCAGAGCTGGGAGTCTTGGGGCACTGACTCGCACTCAGCTCCTGCCACAGAAATTAGAGCAAGCAGGAGAACAACACCTACAGAAGCTGGAATCAAGCAGCCTGAACGCCTCCCTCCTTATCGATGGCTGGCGGTGCCGGGGGGGGGAACCCCTCTCCCGCCGCGCAGGAGGGGTTCTTTTGTCTGCCGGTGTGTTTGCTGCTCCGTCAGTTTGGCATCGGGAGGAGAAACTCTATCAACCTGCAGAAATATTGATTTTATCGACTCCAATCCTGGAGTTTCACAGCTACAGCCAGCGCTCGAGGCTTTACCGGGAGGTTTATTGGGAGGTTTATTTCAGTAAGTGAGAGGGCAAATGGTGGCACCCGCTGGGGAGGACACCCAGGGTGGCAGAGAGGTGGGACACCGGGGAAGCCACCCAGGGCACGGAGACTGCGGGTATCTGCCCCTCACCAGGACCACTCGGGACCAGCTTTCCACAGGTTTTCCAGGGAGATCTGCACCCCTTTGGCAGAGTTTTAGAAACTGGACAGGAATTGTCCCAGCATGGGATCAGATGAGCATCGCAGTTGCTGGAGGAGCAAGGACTCCTATCGCCATGGGCCAGATGGTTTAGGATCTATTTCTGTATCTAGAACCACGAACCGGCAATTAGCGGGGTTTCCAAAACACCTCAGTGGAACCTGCTGTGCTCCTACAGGTTTTCACGAGCTTTTGCTCTCTCCCCATCAGTATCCACCCTCCTTCTTTGGCCCCCTGAGCTACTCCCTTGCTCTCTGTCTGTCCCCATCCTCCCCAGGCTGATGCTGAGCTGGCCAGGCTAATCCTCATGGACAGAGAAACACCCGGTAAAGTCTCCAGAGTGGCAGGAATGGGGGTTCCCATACCTCTAACTCCTCTTTAGGGTAACTATTTTCTAAAGAGCAGATATCAACCTGCCGTTAAAAAACCCAAAACCACCAAAAGCCAAAACAGCACCTTGTTCAGAGCTCCTAAATCCCATGTGCTTCTGAGACGAGTGCAGTTATCCGCACAGCATCGCTCAGCGACGTCAGGATTCAACCTGAGCTTCGAGCCAGCGTCGACCAGAACAACCAAGTTTGACAAAGAGCCGCACCTGAAGCCGGATGCAATTTCCACAGGTCCCGCACACGCCTCAGCGCAGCGTTCGGCTGCTGCGGGAGGACAAATGAATCAAGATCTACAAACCGCTGTGACAAGCACCCCGCTTCCACAGCCACCGACACGCACCTCGCCGGCGGCAACAGCGCAGGCCCTTCCTCGTCCTCTGGATTGATAACGCACAAATCCGTCGGATAATGCACGGCAAATTTTGAGCTGTTACAGCAAAAAGAAGGATCGCTGCTCGCGCCGTTTAAGCGAGAGCAGGTCCCGGTGCTCAGCTCTGGAGGTCCCATGTTGTATTTTGAGTCTGTTATTAAACAAAATACTGGGAAGGGAGGAAACAGCTCTGCAGATGCATCAACCAGAAAACGCCATACCATAGCTCCAGTAAAAGGCTCAGAAAACATGTACATTATTCGCCTGTGGAAGGGCGAGGGCAGAGCTGAGGCCATGGGAACGCAGCAGCACCCACAGCTCTGCTCTCCACCCTCCCCTGCTCCCCTCTCCCCACTTACACAAAATCCCATCACAGACCGCGCTGTCACGACTCATTACAGGTGACACGGAGTCTGAAGCAGCAGGTCGCATCCCCAGACACTGCAGGCACGTCTCGCCTGCAGCCTCCCTCCTCCTGAGCCTTCATCCCCACGGAGGCTGGTGGAAGAGACTGCTGGCAGCGCAGCCCGGGCTGCCACCACGCAGCAAGGCAACGGGGGCTGCATGGCAGGAGCGGGGAGCCCAGCCCGCGGCACCGCAGAAGCAGCCATGCAGCCCCAGCCTGCTTCAGCCCTGCAGCATGGCAGGCATCGCTCCTGCCCTCAGCCGGGAAGGCGAGACGGATCTGGAGCCTGACCTGCAGGAACAGGGCAAGCTAAGGCCACATCGGCCCGTTTCCAAGCAAAGGGCTTCTCGTGTCACCCGTGCTTCACATCAGCTTTAGTGCTGGAGCTGCAGAAGGGCAGGGCTGGAACAGTCTGCAGCCACTGTTAGCATCCATGGCTTTGGCTCAGGGTTGGCCCATGCTGAGGCTCGCTCATGCCTGAAGGAAACGAATCTACGGCGACCCACATCCGAGCTCACCACCTCCAGTGGCTCGGGCATGGTGCACAGCCAACCACGTGGAGGAAAACAGCTCTCCAGCTCCTGCTGACCCCTGACCAGCACAGCTGGAGGCTTCAGCTCTGTTTTTTCTATATCTAAGATGGAAGCCGCAGAACTGTTCTTCCATCTCGCCCATCACACTGTGCTGCTGGTCCTCCTGAAAGGGGAAATGGGGACCCGTGCTGCACCGCACCCTCCCTGACCATCCCTGTGCTCTGCCCCGGCAGCAGCAGAGCGGGGCTGCGGGATGAACCGGCGCGCCGGGGCAATCCCGTTAGCTTCGTTAGGGTGAGCAACCAGCCACAGCAATAACGCTGCAAGATCCCCCTCATCCACCGCCCAGTGCACGGCACAAAGCGGGGGCTCCCAGGGTCTCTGTGCTCCCAGCAAAGCTGCTCTTTGCTGCCATTGGCGTTTTTACTTCAGAGGTCAGAGGGGCTTTGGCACAGGTGGTCAGCCTTCTCCTGGCACTGTCGGCGTCCGTGATTCCCTCCTCCACAGCAGCACCTCCACCCCCAGTGTTCACCCAACGATGCCCTGCCGTGCCCCCGCCGCAAGGGCATCACCCTGGGGACCCGTCCGGGCGCCAGCTGGGGCGGCAGCCTGTTCCCGAGGCTGCAGGGACACAGACACGCGCCTTTCAGCCCACATGAGCATCGCATGTACACGCTCACGCCTGCTTTGGGGCTGCCTTTCCCACTCCAAAGGATGCACAGCGTGGCCCCAGCTCTCCAGGCCAGCACCCAAAGCGGGGCCCTCCTCTCTGGAACTCACACCAGGGGACACGCCAGCCCTGGCACAGCACCCTCGGTGCCAGTGCACCGAGCCGGGAGGCTGCGGCACCACTTCCCAGCCACGCTCAGCTCCACAGCCCAGCTGGGTCGGCCTCCCCGCAGAGCCCCTGTCCTGGCCGACGTCCCGGCGAGCTCCAGCACCGCTGTCCCTCCAACACCACCTCTCGCTTCTCCTCCCTCCACCCACCGCGGCACGGGAGGAGAAAGGGTCTGCAGAGGGAGGTGGGTGCCGGGCGGCAAGCCGAGGTCGAGCGTTTTTCAGTGAACAGAGGCAGCTGCTGCGGCTGCCTGCCCTGCCAGCCCTGACTGCTCCAGTGTTCGCTGCGGGGACGCAGCACAAAGCCCCTCTCTTCTGGACGAGCACAGAGCCATATCCAGGGTTACCAGCCAGCTCCGAGACGGGAGGACTGGAGACTCTCCCCTCCCTCCCTTCCGCCCAGACGAAAAGCCTTTGCCCCCATCAGCAGCCTGAGCTGCATGGCCTGAATCCCCTCGCCAGGAGCAAAGTTGGCTGCAAACA